AGGGTATGCTGGTATGACCGGCAGCCTGATCAATGCCCAAATTGCAGCCGGCATCCTGTGTGTCCTAAATCAGGTATCCTCCAAATCCAAACAGCTGTAGGCAAACACTCTTATTCATGGACTTTTTTAGTATTGGAGGAACTATTTTTATTCTTTTGACTATTGACTTTTGACTATTCTTGTGACAGTTTTGCCCCATTTCTTTTAGTGAATGAGGAATGAACCAAAGCCCCACCACCTCACCCCTGCATCAGTCTCTGCAGAGAAAAGGTTGATGTTGCATAGAATGGAAATATTGTTGCTCTACTGAAGCCCTCAACCTCTGAACTACTGGCAGGAGGACAGATCTTCTTCTTCTTCTTTTCTATTATGGTGGATTGCAAGCAACTTTAAGGTGCATACCGCCACCTACTGTACATGAGTGTGTAGCAACACTACTTTACATAAAATTCTATTTTCTAATTTTGTATTCTGTATGTATGAATAAATAATATTTTCCTGAATCTGTGAATATCCTTTATATTCCCTTCATTTCCCAATATTCCTTTACGACTCCATTCTTGGCACGTCCTTCAGGAGGACAGATCAGGCTCCTCCCACTGCAGGTGCTTCAACCTGTACACCTGAGATTCATGCTTCACCTGCTTATAGATTCCTGCAGCCAGTTTATAAAAGCAGGTGGTTGAATTTAAATGCTGTTTTATAAAAATGCTGTTTTATAAGCGTCCAGATTGACGTCATCAGCCGCCCATGCAGGCGCAGTTATCGCCCCCTGCGGTGACTGGCGGCCATTACAGTTCATCTGCTTCTTTATGTAGGTCGCTTTATTTTGGAAGCGGAAGTCCCACCGGAAGTGGAGCTGGTGCCGCTCGGTCTCCCGCCCCTGAGCCATCTTGTGTTTAGCAGGAACAAAAAACGGGAAGAGAAGCGGGTCCAGGCGGAGGATGGGGTTCTGGTTTTAGGGCCACAGCAGGAGCTTTAAGGGGATGTTAGGAAGGGAACCATCAACCACACCCCGCCGAGCTGCTAATGTCCCCGTTAGCCTGCAGCTAATCAGGCTAAGCTATTAGCTCTGCGGACCTGACCGTTAGAGACACTAAAACCTTCCTATTGTCTCGGAACCCGGTGCTGGACCCCAGCGGCCCCCCGAAGCCCAGGAGGACCGCGGTGGACATGAGCCAGGACACCCTGTGAGACAAAACCCGGGATATGAAGACCGGCGCGCGCCGCTAGCTTCCTGCTAACCTTCCCTTTTCGGTCTGTAGAGGATCCATCACCAGCTGCGGTAAGATCCACCACAGGGGGGGCAACAGGGGCCCGGGGGGCCATAGAGGGTCTGACACCGATGGCCTACAGGCCTAGGCTATCGGTGGGGGCCAAAACACAGGCTTACTGGGGGCCAAAACACGGTCTGACTGGGGGCCAAAACACGGTCTGACTGGGGGCCAAAACACGGGCTTACTGGGGGCCAAAACACGGTCTGATTGGGGCCAAAACAAGGGCTGACTGGGGGCCAAAACACGGGCTGACTGGGGGCCAAAACACGGACTGACTGGGGGCCAAAACACGGGCTGACTGGGGGCC